CGTGTGTGTGTGTGTGTGTGTGTGTGTGTGTGTGTGTGTGTGTGTGTGTGTGAGAAGTTCTGACCAACCAGTAGGAAACATTTTCTTTCAGTACAGAAGAAGACAAGTGTGTGTGTTTGTTTTTTGAGACAGGGCTTCTCTGTGTAGCCCAGACTGGCCTCAAACTCACAGAGATCCACCTGCCTCTGCCTCCCAAGTGCTGGAATTAAAGGTGTGCACCATCACACCCAGCTGATAGGAGTCTTTAAGAGGCAGACAACCAGTGAACTCAGTGTACCCAGGCCCACCCTGGGCAGCATCTGGCCTGGTGGAGGCAGGATGCTTTCATTGAGGATGGCAGGGCATGGGACCTGCATCTCTTGGGAGACTTACACCCAGGTTAGGAGACAGCTATCCTACCCTGTGCTCTCAGGGCTTTGGCTCCTCTAGAAACACAAGTTGTCTCACTTGTCAGCATGTCAGAGAAAACAAGAGGGGTATGGTGTCAGAACAGAATTTGAATTCTGGCTTTTCAATGAACTAACCATAAGACAAACAATTTGATCCCTACAAACCTGTGTTCCTTCCCACAGGAGGCACAAGGGAAGTGTGTGTGTGTGTGTGTGTGTGTGTGTGTGTGTGTGTGTGTGTGTGTGTGTGAGTCTCCATGTGTTCAGACTGCAGACATGCACACATATGTATATGTGGTTCGGAGGGATATTTATATTTGCATCAAGAGCTTCGGGGATCCTGTAGGAAATTAGCATGCAGCTTTGGCTCCTCTCCCCATTATCTGGAATTCCTGTCCCAGTGGCCTCTGGGTGATTAGGGGAGGACAGCCAGCTACTAGTTCCACAAGGTGACTCTGGGAAATTCATTGTATTGAGTTTACTTTCTTCCTCTGCCAAACAGGCCAAACCTATTCTTAAAGATCCCACTAGCCACAGTGACTTGTGGATATTGTTTGTTATTGTTATTCAGCCTCCACATTTTTTCCCTAAGGCCTGTTCTCCACCCAGGATCAAATTTTTGTGTGGAGCCATCCCATCCAGGCCAGCTTTATAATGGCAGCAAGGGCAACATCCACAGGTGTGAGACCCCTCACCAAGATGTCCACAGAGAACATACTCATCCCGCATATACGTTTATTGTTGATTCTATGCACCAAATCTATCACAAGCAGCATCTAGCAAAAAACAGACCCCAACCCAGCCCTCCAGGGTTCACATTCTATTAAACACCAGGGGCCTGGAAATCTCTAAACTCAATGCTAGCAACTAGGACTATTTGCAAAGATCATCTAGTAAGGCAAGCGTTCTAGCAGGGCAAAGGCAATGAATGGGAGGCAATAACACTCTCTCCTTAGAGGAAGGGCCCTGGGACTGGATGGTGCTTCACCTGGAAACTTCCTGTTGCTCTCTCTCTCTCTTTGGCCACACTAGTGGTTTCCTTCCCAAGATCATCGTCATTCAATGGCCATATCTGGTTCTGACCGTGGGGTCTGAGGCTGAACCTTGGAGTAGCTTGTAGCTAAGTCTGGGTCACACACACAAGTCCTGCTTCCTGACTGGAGTTATCGATCCTCTCTCTTCCCAAGGCTGGAAGAGGATTCCAGAGTTCCATCCTGCCATCAAGATGCCTATGGAAACTGTGTGGCTGCCAGTGAGAGGCTGCAGACCCTAGCTGCTTGTGTTCAGCCTGTTTCCTTTGGTCTTGAGATGAAAGCCCTAGACAGTCCAGGAGGCTTTATTCAGAGATTGTCTGTTGGAAACTGCAGAAAAGTCCTTAACACAAGAGGATACCAGTGAGACTAATTTCATAAGAGTCAAGAGGGTTAGAAGGAGAATTCATGTTAAGAGCCAAGCCCAAACATCTATTAGTGTGGTGACTCTAGGTGGCCTTATTAGCTCTCTTCTAGCATCAACTCCCCTCCCACTTCACACAAATACTAGTGATGGCAGTCCAGAAACCAGTGAACAGACAGGGAAAGTGTGCTGAACTCTGCATCTTAGCACAGATTGCTTTTCTTTCTTTCTTTTTTGGGTCTTTAAGACGGGGTTTCTCTGTGCCTTTGGAAGCTGTCCTGGAACTAGCTCTTGTAGACCAGGCTGGTCTCAAACTCACAGAGATCCACCTGTCTCTGCCTCCTGAGTGCTGGGATTAAAGGCATGCACCACCAATACCCAGCTGCCGTATCACAGATTTCTAGGGGTCACAGAGAGAGTTCATTCCAGCTCCAAGAATTGAGCAAAATGCATCATCCCGTTGGAAAGGACCCTCCATGCAGTGTTCCAAGCATTCCCCTTATGACTAGATGATGTGGAGTACCAAAAGCTCCATTGATAAGGAGCAGGTCTAACGACTCCATCTGGACATCATAGTGGGGAGAAAGGAAAAGGCCTCACCCATGTTATCCACATCTGTGCACTTAGCTCCTAGGCAAGCCATGAGAAGACAGCTGCCCCCGGCCAGCCTTTGGGCCAGCAAAGCATTTGACTGTCACTGCCAGTGTTAGAAGTGGCCAGCGGTGCCAGGTTAAAACTGGCAGGGAACATTGGATAGTGTGGATCCCACCTCTCTCCACCCCTAGCCCACTGAGGCTGGACATAGCTCACATGGAGCTTCAGATGGTTCTGGAAAACACAGTACTGGGCCAAGCTTCCATCTATAATAAAGCAGGCCCAGCCCCGCCTCAGGGCACACCAGCAGGCCCCAGTAAGCAGATCTATGCTCACGATCACACTCACTCTGGGGTTGGGGACAGCCTTGACCCATATGTACCAGGATTTGCATAAGGAGATGATATCTTTTGACTGACATCAGGTTCCCTGGGGCAGAGTGTGTCAGTTCTCACAGGCATTCTTTCTGGGTTATTCAGTCAGGAACTGAAGGGAAGACCTGGAGCCCCTGTGAGCTCTCTGTTGCCAGAGGGGTTTCTCATTTACTCCATAAGCACCACTGCAGGTTGGAGATGCATTTCCTGATCCCTGTGGTCAGCTGGAATCCTTCCCTCTTTGATAGGAAAACCTGACATTTTCTGTTTCACTGTTTTGTTTTTGAGGGAGGTGTGGCACTGACCACACCCATTGGGGGTGGGGGCAGGGGCAGATGAGACCTTGGGGAACTAGGTCTGGGGAAGGGACCCCTGAGCATGCTCTTGCATGCACGGGGATAGAGGAGCATCTGGAGGCATCCTTGGGACCAGGAGCCTGCTGGTGTTCATCTGTCTCTGTTGTAAGTTATTTCTCCCTGAATAAACATCTATTCAGCCTATCTGTTTTTCCTGATCCTTATTAAACCATGAGAGGAAGGATCTTTCTACATAGCCCTGGCTGTCCTGGAACTCACTTGGTAGACCAGGCTGGCCTTGAACTCAGAGGTCTGCCCCGCAGTGCTGGAATTCAGGGTGTTCCCCACTGTGTTCCATAGTTTACCTGCTTTTGCTTCTGTGCAGGTGTGTCAGTTTTCCAAAGAGAGCTATGTCACCTTGATCACAACTCTTTAAAGTGTGGAAATAGATACATATGTAGCAGAAAAGGCAGCCAAGGCAGACGTATTGTGACTGTCACTCAAAGAGAAAACTATAAACTGATTCAGCTCATAACCAGAACCCAGACAGAAGGTTTCCCAGAGCGAGCCCACACCCTCCTGTGACCTTCCTCCTAATGCCCTGATATCTGCTGCCTGTAGTCTAGCTACCAGCTGACTAATGTGGATAAAGAATTTGACCACAGTGCAGAAGGATTCCTGGTTTCTATTACACTTGGTTATTCAATTGGAAGATCTCATCTCTGAGCTATTTTGCTTCCCCCAAATGAAGAACAAAAATTAGAAACAGATTTGGGCATATTATACCCATAAAAGGATGAATAGAGGGGTTGCTGATGAGCATCATAGGGCTTGTTGGCAGGCAAGATGTGTGCTTGCATAGGCTACTGTAGTTCGGGTGCTCCTGGTCTAGCCAGCTTGGTTGCCTCTTGTCCTGACTGTTCCTCTATCTCTTTTACTTCCAACAGCTGGGCCTTTGCAAAGACTACAGTGGCGGTGTAGGGGAGGTTGTAAGGGCTCCCTCCCAAGCCCACAGAGAACTAAAAAGTCCTCGGTGTCCCCAGAAGTCCTTCAGAACAAGTGGGATGGAGACACTGTGGTATCATTTCTTGGTATTATGCTAATCACACAGGTATCTATCCAGATTGTGAGACTTCACGAGGCTGTAGACATTCACACTCCCACTTTTCTGTATGTATGGGATCCTTAAACACAAAATCAGAAAGGGAAAGTGTAAGGTGAGTACAAGGACCCTAGGCAGCAGGTTTTGCCCTTTCTGTGTTTTGAGAATTTTTAGCGACTGCATGATTTTATACCATAAAGAGCTAAGATCTTCAGAGGAAAGCTTGCAGCTTTAAACATTCTTCTCTGGTGACAACTCTGCCTGGGGAAGAGACAGCATAGGTGTCTTTCTGTCTTGCAGAGCACCATCCAAGCCAGTTCAGTGAGCTAAGAGTTCCCAACTTTCTCACGGAGAGAACCTAAGTCTGCCTTTAGCAGCAGAAAAACAAAGGCAAACACCTCACTTGAGGGGACAGAGTCAAGCCATGGCACAAAAAGAAAAGCAAGAAAAAAAAAAGAAAAGAAAAGAAATCAACTTATATAATACTCTGAGGCACGGGCTGTCCCGGCAGAGAACTATTTCATAATGTGAGCAGACCTTGTCATCATTAAGTCTACAGAGACTGTGAGGGGCTGGGTGCAAGGGAGCTTGTTCTTGGAAGTAGTGAGGATTTGGCAAAGGATTCCTCTGAAGGTTGCCTAGGCATTGACCTAGAACCTTCTGGAGTTGCTTGTCTGTCTGTTTGTTTAATGACCAATTAGATTTCTCTGGGAGCAGAAGGTCCTGAAATGCCTGCTTCTCTATAGAAGACTTGGGGGCTCAGGACAAGATGGGGGTATTTTCCTCTTGGGCCATCAGAGCTTGGCTGTGTAGAACCAGGTTTGGAAGCTGAATGATTGCATGCTCTAGTCCTCTGGTTTCATCCTTCCCCAGCCCTGCTTGAGCCTGCTTCCCTAACACTCATTGGGAGCCTTCATCTGCATCAGGACTGCCTGGCTCCTCTTTTTGCAGCAGCAGCAGCAGATACAAGCAGCTAGGGAACAGGCCAAAGCAATGATGCCGATCACAATGGCAGCAATGGCCAGCCCAGTCTGGGCATCAGTCATGCCCCACGTATTGCGGTCATCAGTGGCTTCAATGGTGGTCAGGTCGGTGTAGTCTTCTAGGGCAGTGGTGATCTCTGTGGTAGAGGAAATGGATGTGGTGTCAGGATAGCTGGGTGACCCAGCTAGATCAGGGTCTGCATAACGTGGCACTTCCGGGTAGCTAGATACTTCAGGAGCCTGGACACTGGGCACAGGGAGATTGATATTGATGATGACAAGAGACTGGCCTCGGACGTTGGCTGGGCTGGAACACACTGGAAGAGTGTCTGTCCCCAACCTGGCTCTGTTGAGAATGAGCCAGTTATGGAGTGGGAGGATACCTGAGTCACACCTCCAGGGGTTGTCATAGAGACGGAGCTCACACAGGTTCACCAAGTGATCAAAGATGCCCAAGGGCAAGTTCTCTAGGTTGTTGTTCTGTAGCTGGATGGTGGTGAGGCCGTTGACATTGGCGAAGATGCTGCCAGGGAGCTGTCGGATGCGGTTATTTTGGAGGGAGATGTTCTGCAGGTTGGCCAGCGCTCGGAAGACATTTCCATCCAGGTCCTGTAGAGCATTGGTGTGAAGGGACAGCTCTCGCAGGTTTGTCAAGCCATTGAAGGCTCCCGGGGAGATGGAGTTGAGCTGGTTGTGACTGAGAATCAGAACCTGCAACTGGGGCAGGTTGATGAAGGTGTTGTCAGGGATGGAGGTGATGTGGTTGTTGTACAGCCAAAGCTCCCTCAGGTTGGGCATAGGCCCGAAGATCCCCGGGGAGAGCTCCTTCAGGGAATTGCCGAAGAGTGTGAGCTTGTTGAGCTGAGGCAGCTGCATGAAAATGCCAGGGGGCAGCTGTGAGATGTGGTTGTTGGACAGATACAGTCTCTGGAGGTTGCGGTTATTGTGGAACAGGCCAGGGGACAGTGTGCCAATCTGGTTCTCCTGGAGGGCCAGCTCCTGGAGGTTGCCCAGGGCATCAAAAGTGCCCATGGGGATGTCTGAAAGCCTGTTTTCATATAGCCGGAGCACTTGGAGGTTGCCGAGATGCTGGAAGACCCTAGGTGACAGGTGGGTGAAGCCGTTCTTACCCAGATTGAGCTTGGTGAGTCCCACCAGGTGATCAAAGGCACCTTCAGGGATGTATTCCAGATTGTTGCCATGCAACTGGAGTTCCCTAAGATTACTAAACTGGGAGAACTGGGCTGGCTGGATCTGAGCCAGTTGGTTATTGGACAGCAGAAGGGATTCCAGGTTGTCTAGGCCCTGAAAGAGGCCAGGGGGCAGCATCTGGATTTTGTTGTTGGCAAGGCTGAGATAGCGCAGTGAGCCCAGGTTGCGGAAGGCACCAGGCATGATGTTCGACAGTTCGTTCTTCTCCATCCTCAGGGCGATGAGTGCTGAGATGTTGATGAATGGGGCCTCCGTGATCTCAGTGATGTGTGTGTTGAGTATCTGCAGGCTCATAGCATTCCAAGGCAGAGGGGTGGGCACTGCCACAATTCGTGCCCCTGTGCACTCTACCTGGGAGGCCCGGGAACAGGTACACTCACTAGGGCAACCATAGTAGGCCAAGCCTGCAGCCCAGGCCTGGCAGCCCACCAGCAAAAGGAGATAGTGTTTCAGTGGCATGGCCTGTGTGGGGAAAGAGAAGCTGTGTAAGTTACAGTCACCTCACAACAGCCCTCAGTTCCAATAGTGGCTTCCAGCCCCACCATCACACACCGATCCCAAAGCTCTCTCTGCTTCGGCCAGAGAGTCCCTGGCCTTCCTACGTCGTTGGGCCCCTTGCCTGAGCAATGGCCTCACCTGCAAGCTCCTCATGCTCACTTGAGTCCTCCCATGCTTCCGTGTCAAGTTCAGGTCCAGCCATCACTAAGAGGATTTCTAGGGACTCAGTCACCTCTTGTACCAGTAATAACCCCACAGTCCTCCTGTGCTGCCATGTCACAGCCAGTTAAGCTTAGGTGGCATTTATTTGTTCCCTTCCCCAGTTAACAAGATTTTTAAGGGTGTCACCTTACAATCCTACGGGTTGCTAAGATAGAAACTGTATCTTTGAATATATATTCCATTTTTAATTAAGTCTGAGAATTTCATGCATACATACATTGCATTTCGATCATACTCACCCCCACTCCTCCTCCAAATTCCTCCTGGACCCACTCCCACCTCTCTACCCACCTCATCCCAATTCATGTCCTCCCTTTTTTTTTTTTTAATAACCCACTGACTCCAATCTGTGCGGCCCATATATGCATGGGTGTGGGGCTGTCCTATGGAACACAGTCTACCTACCAGGGGCCACACCCTTAGATAGAACTGACGGTCCATGGCTCCCTTAGCAGCCATCAAGTTTCAATAGCTCCTCAGCTAGAGGTGAGGGCTCATAAGTTCCCTCCCTGATCCCATGCTGGAATGTGGACCGGCTTGACTGTGTGCAGGTCTTAGGCAGACAGCCACAGCTGTGGCGACTCTCCTACCTGTGGCTCACACAGTCTCCCTGCCCCCTTTTCAGTGAGGTTCCCAGAAGAACTGTTCACATAACCTCTGTAGCTCTCAGCACATGAACAGGCTGGCAGAACATGGCCTTGTCGGAAGACCCAGAAAGGAAAGGAAATTAAGTCAGTGTATCAATAGGGTCTGAGCCTGGGATGTTGGGGCCACAGAGATGAGTAGTGAGGGCCAGCAGAGCAAGGAATCACTAACCTCAAGTAGCTCTCTCTGCCCTCTCTCCTGCCCCTCCCTACTAGACCATTGCCACCAACGCCACCCTGGCCCTTTCTCAGCCTGTCCATATGTGCTTCATTTAGATTTAATCCAAGCCATCTTCTTCTGATGATAAGAAGCCACTGTCTGCACCACATGTTGCCTGTCTGGAAGAGGTGGCTGGGCCTCAGCTGATGTCTAGGGTGTGGCTTCTGGTGTGAGCCCTGGTTCCCACAGAAAAACACTGGGTGGCCTGGAGTAAGTCCATGAAAACACAGGCACACTTAAAGCTAAGGGGTATAAGTGGGCCCAGATGTCTCCCCAGGCACAGGAACTGAATACACTGAGGCCTTGGGGTTCAAAGTCACCTATGACAATGCTAAATACAGAGCCATGGGCACAGTTCCCTGTGTGGATATTTAAGGTCCTGCTAGGCTTGAATGAGAGTTCTCAGGTCTCGAACTTCAGCTTCCTTATCTGCTAAGTTACTCTTGGGGCTGTTGTGTGGGTTAAATGGGAGAAGAGCCTTAAAGGGTGCCCTTGTTCCCAGCTGCCCATAGCATATATTCACAGTCCCCAAAGGCAGGGAGCCCTCAGAGTGTCTCTAGCCTGGCATTCTTTGTTAAGGGACTAAGAATTGAGTGTGTAGACATGAGTGGCCATGATCTCTGCCCACAGTAGAAAGGAGCCTATAACTCCTGAGACCTAAGGAGTTGCCACCTCTCATGGTTTTATGGGGTGACAGGAAGCAGGGAAATTGAGGCTCCAGTCTCCAGGATCCCAGGTGAGGACTTTGAGTGGCTTGCAGTGCCTCTCCCAAGGGGCAAAGCTGATGAGTAAAGGCAGGGTTCAGTGAGTGGTCGAGCCACACACTGGCTTGGGGGGTACTTGGCAGTTTCTCTTGGTGCCCTGAGATGATGGGGCCCTAAGGCTAGCTCCCCACCCTGGCCTGGGCTTCCTACACCCTTCCTCCATTCCCTCCTGCCAAAAAGCAGCTAAGAAACACCCTGCTTATCTCCCACCAACACAGACCTCAGCTTTTCATTTACTCACAGCCCTTTCTAGCTATGCCCTGCTTCACTTTCATGAAGGACTTGCCAAAGTATGTATAACTATTGGGGAAGGGAAAGGGAACAGCATGGCTACTTGAGAGCAGTGGCAAAAGGCTAGGAGGCAGGTAAAGCTGCGGACCACATTTAAACAGCCAGTCCGGAAAGAGAGGGGGAAAACTGCTCAAACAGGAGCCACACAGAGCGTGGCAAAGTGGCTCATGTGTGTAAAGCTACCACTCAGGAAGCTGAGGCAAGAAGATCTCTGTAAGTCTGAGGCACAGAGAGTTCTGTCAACCCAGTGCTGGGTGAGTGGAGACAGGTGGATCCTGGGAGTTCACCAGCTGCACAGCCGACTTACAGAAAGGAGCTCCAGGTTCAGTGGAAGACTTTATCTCAAAAATTAATGTGGAGTGCAATTGAGGAAGGCAGTAAAGTTGACCTCTGGCCTCCATGCACAAGTGCACCCCTCCCCCTTGCAACAAACACACAAAGAGAGCACAGGAAAAATGCCACCATCTCCAAAACCTAAGGCTTCATATTGGCAGTAACAAGGAAACGATGCTGCTACAAAAGCTGACCTGATCTTAGACGGTCTCAAGAGAAGTATGGAGTGGCAGGAAGGAGGTGATGGTCTTACTCTACACACCCCAGACCAGGACCCTTCTTATTATGCCACGCTCAGTTCCACTCTGACTTCAGAGTCAATGACAAACTGGTTTCTTAAAGAACTCCTAGGGCAGTGGTTCTCAACCTTCCCAAAGCTCGACCCTTTAATACAGTTCCTCGTGGTGACTCCCAATCATAAGATTATTTTTGTTGGTACTTCATAACTGTAATTTTGCTACTGTTATGAATTGCCATGTTAATATCTGATATTTAGGATGTGATTCCCCACAAAGGGGTTGAAGCCCACAGGTTGAGAACAAATGGGCTGTGACCTAGAGGCCTAGAGGAAGGTGATAGGACATAGGAACTCGACCATCTGAGCATCCATTGAAGGAGCTGCAGATAAATAGCTGGATGTAGATAGAATCCGCCAGACTTTCTAGGGTGTGAAAAACTACCATGGGATAACAGGTGCAATGCAACTCCAGAGACCAATACAGGGTCACAGCACAGCAGAGTTCAGTTCCCACTTGGTGTGCACAGGCTCACAGAGGCGGCAAGCTTTGTGTTACAAGCATAGCTGAGAACTTTTAGATTGAGATGGAGAGAAAACTCCTACCCTGAGCAAGCAGTCAGTGGAGAAGACAGCAGCTGTCCAGGCCATGGCTAAGATTTCAGGTTCAATGGTTGAGTTCCAGAGAGTAGAAATGAGAACCACCCATCTCCCAGGAGGCTGGACAGTCAGGGCTTGTGTCTGTCTATGCTTCTGGTAGATGTGTGTGAGACTCACCCCTGGCTGAAGCTCAGTGGCTCCTGGCACTGTCTGAACTACTCATTTTTCATAAATATTACTTTGCCCAGCTCCAAGGGTGATGTCATAGCCCAAGTAATGGAGAGTGATTATGTGCCCATCACCTGGAAGCTCTGCATGCTGGAGGAAGCAATCTCCCAGAGGACCATCTCCCCAGCTAGGCAGGGGTACCAGGAGGACCATCTCCTCAGCTAGGCGGAGGCATCAGGGACCATCTCCCCAGCTAGGCGGAGGCATCAGGAGGACCATCTCCCCAGCTAGGCAGGTATTAGGAAGACCATCTCTCCAGTTAGGTGGAGGTATCAGGTAAGCCCTGTGAAGAGTCTGAGACCCCGGTGGGGAGGTGGGAAGGGGACCCTTTGTAGCCTGGGAAGAAAACCAAAGGGATAATTCCCTGTGGGAACAGGCAGTGTTGTCTAAAATAGGCTACTCAGCACAACAAATATTGCAAGAATTCCCAATGTCCTTTTATAAATCCTCCCTGTCTGCCAAGCCCACCCAGTGCTGCATGAAGCTGTTTCCAGTTTTTCAATGGTTCAGACAGCTGGTGCCCTCCCTCCCCCACCTGCCTGCTCCTGACCACCAGCAGAGAGCACCACAAAGGTGCCTGAGTCCTGCAAAGAGGGAGCATTCAAAGCCAGCCTGGAGCTAGACCTTGAACTCTTGGAGGTGCTGCAGGCAATGGCCCTTGGCCTCAAGGAGCCAGCCTATGTTGGCCTAATAGCCCACGCTGCCCAGTGCTGCTTGGCAGCCGTGACAATGGCAGTTAAAGGCCCTCAAAGCTGCCCTAATTACAGCTTCATCCTCCAGGCATGGAGCGCGTCCTCAATCATTTCGGCCAGCCCATGGGGAGGGGATACATGGCGTTAGTCAGATCCATATAGCCAGAAGACTGGGCAGATAGACAGAAGAAGGACAGACGGCTCACCTGGACATGGATGCGGCCCCTCCCCAGGAGTGGAAATGATTGAACAGGGTGCTGGCTGTGGGTCTCTCTGCAGAAACACCCTGTGACTCACGAGTGAGCGAACACATAATTAGCCTTGAAGCCCTGGGCTTTGTTGGTTGGGAGCTGGACTTTCTTGGATTAGTACCATCGTTCATGTTCACTAAACACAGTGTTCCCTGGAAAGAGACTCCTCATTTTAATGCCACAAAGTGAGCCTTTTGAAGAGGGCCAGGGAGACCCCTATTCTACAGCGGTCTTGACAGTAACAACCCAAGTTCAGGTAAATACTCCAGGCTTCAGTTTCCCCTTCTGTAAAAGCTTCACAAGCCGCTATAGCTCTAGTGTTGCTTCTGCCAAAGGCAAAAAGGAAGCTGGAATGAAGACTTCCCTTCCTCCCATCCCCTCTTCGCCTGGCTAGGCCCCACTCTCACACCAAGGGTTGAAAAGCCTTACCCTCTCAAGCCTGCTTGTTTCAAGTTTCCCCCGGCAGGACCACCCCACAAGTTAATCGCCGTGTCTTCACACAGCCCAAGACCCGAGAGGGCCCCCTTCCACCCTTCCCAGTGCACCTAATGCAGCTGAGGCCCACAAAGAGGATCTCCCTTCATTCCCGTGGCACTCCCCGAAGATGGCCTCCTAATCAAGGCCTCCTTTGGAGTGACATGGACCCTGGGCCATGCAGGAGTGAAGCCCTGCATTCCCCATCCCCATCCTCACCCAGTGCCCTTGTCCTCAGTCTGGCTGCTCTTTGGCACACAGTCTAAGAGCTGTGAAGTCAGAGAAGCTGGATCTGAGTGGAGTTCACTCCTGGGGTCTCTCCTCTCTCTCTCTCTCTCTCTCTCTCTCTCTCTCTCTCTCTCTCTCACTCACTCTCACACACACACACACACACACAGTGACCTAAGAGTCTTGTTGACTAGACCTGATTTCCTGCCATCACTACTGTGACTGTGAAGTGACTTAATGTGTGCAAGACACTGGGAATGATTCTGGGAACAAAGTGGGTTCCCATTAAAAGTTGAGCAAAATTAGATCTCTGGAAGCTCCACCCACAGTGTTCCTAGCCTCTAGACTAGGCTGAGGCCTAGACTTACACACACAGGCACCCCCACTCCAGTGCACACAGACCACACTCGGAAGCACTACAATGTGGTCTAGACTACCTGGGAGCCCATGCCTATGTCATTTAGCCGTCAAGAACACAGAAAGAACGGGGATAGGAGAGACTGAAGGCTGTTTCACCATCTAGGCACGCCAGGTTTGCCTCCCCAATCTGGAATCTGAAGCTTGTATTAGTTAAGCCTAGAAGCTGCTTCCAGATATAGTTTGTGGGATCCAGGATACCACTGGCTGTTTTGTAGACGAGAAACTGACAGGTCCATAGAGAGGAAACTCAAGGTCACACAGGCAACTGAAGGCTCAACATAGAGCCTGATGAGACCTCATCATGAGGCTTCTTTAGGGCCTTTTCTGTGTAGGCTCCTACCTCCACCAGTGTGGGGGAGGGGAAGAGATGCCTCGCCCGTCCCCCTAACCTAATTGGCCCATATACAATCACTTGCCACTGTCCAGTATTATTAGTCAAATCCATGTCCTCTTGCAACTCATTCTGCAAGTGACTTTCTGCTCGAAGGCTAACCCTGATGATGTGTTGTCAAGGGCTAACGGAGTAACCTGGAAGAGGAAAAAAAGGTTCGGGGTAGGGGCGGGCACCAGAAGGATTGAGCCTGGCAATTTCAGCACGCACACCCCATGATTTAGGAATACTCTAGCCAGACAGAAAGCACCCTGGAATCCACATCAAGACTGCCACAATCTCATCCTCCTGGGCCCTTCAAAGTCAAAGTCAAAATGTTGTTCATTGCCTTGTTCTGTTTTTTTTTTTTTTTTTTTTTTTTTGGGGGGGGGGTTTGTTTTGTTTTTAAAGGAAGAATAAGAAAAGGCAATTCCTCCCCAGGCCCTCTGTGGGACCCCCACCCCCCTGTGCCCCAAGGCTGGGCCAGGCCTAGCCTGGCTTCCTGCAGAGGCCAGAGCAGGTCTGTAATTTGCCAGGCAAGAGCTGTAAGAGCACAAACTGGCCAGCACAATGGCAGGAGCAGGGAAGTGACGGCTTTTTATAAGAAGAAGCCACAGAGTTCAAAGACTCTCCTCCTCAGTGTAGTACCTTAGATCTGAAGCAGAGGGAAATGGTGTGGTCTCTGAACATTCCAGAAGCTGCTTCTGCCTGTCCTGTGTCCCACAGCCAAGGCAGGCACTGGAACAAGCAGCTTCAGCAGTTCTACTGTAGTTGGGAGTTGGGAGAGCAAATTGTCATCTGTAATGACAGCTTTCGTGTGTTTGCTGGCAGGACAAAGTCTGGGCAACCTCTTTCCCAGCTCTCACTTCTGCACATCTGGATGTAATTCCGCTCATGCTTCACCTGCCTCCATCTACTGAGCTGATCTGGGTAGTGGTCCCCAGCCTTGGGAAGAAGCTTCCTACACTTGCCATGGGGTCTTCTCAGAACGCTTCCTGGCCACATGCCTTCCCTGCCACTGTCGCTGCTGAGGTCGCTGCTGAGGACGCTGCTGACTCATGACCACAGGAAACTTTGACTGTCTGGCCCTGAATTTACTCCAGATGTTCAGGCAATGCAGAAAGAAAGAAGACCCAGTTAGTGGATTTCCAAGTTACAGAGCTTGAGCACACACACATCTGAGAGCTGCCTGCTATAGGAAATGCCAGCTAGATACCCTGGGAGAGATGCTGTCGGGTGGCAGGCACCTTGGGTGCATAATGTCATCACAGGAGTCACAGTTTGCCCTGCGTAGTGTGTTCAGCCCTAAAGGTAGAATGGCTCAGATTGGAAGGTCCAGAAGGCTCTGCTTTTCCACAGCTGATTCCTGTGCATGTGGGCAGAGGCTCAAGTAAGGATGGGATTAAAATCCACCCAGTTAGCTGTGGCTATAACTAAGCTGTAGAGTGCTTGCTCAGCATGTTTGGGGTCCTGAGCTTGATCCTTAGCACCAAAATACTTATATACATACATACATACACACACACTCACATACATGCATATACACACACGCACACACACACACATACACACATACATACATGGCACCCAATTCTCATCACAAATCAACCTCCAGCCACTCTTTCCCAAACTCCTGTGATACTTTTAAGTGACTAGAATGGGATCATCTAAGCCACACACAGAGCTAGAACCTGGACATCTAAAGCCATAGCTGGATCCCAAATTGGCACCCCTAAACAGGGACTGCACATCTATTGGAGTCAGGCAGGTAACACTGTCAATCTATGACAGTTAGAGGGCTGATTTCTCCCAGCCAGAAACCCCAGGAGGCAAAATTTACCATCCTGATCAGATCCATGCACAAGGACCCCTATAAGCGGCCACGTCAGTAGGTGCAAAAGAAATTACATAGGTGCCAACAGCTGGAACCTAAGAGAATCTCCTATCTTTGTGGAGCTGGTATCTTGGAAGATGTAAACCCCATGCTTCAGCCAACTTTCAACTAACTCCACGCAGATCAAAAGCTCTCCCCACTACACCCCAAGCTGACTCCCCAGCCCATGAAAACAAGGGAAGCATCAAGATTCACAGCTGGACCCTGGGACCCGGGCAGTGGATGCAGGCTCGCCCAGCTCCTGCGCACCCTGTACCTGTCCAGGTCCTCAGAGCATCCCAGACACGTGCCAGCCCTGCCCCTTCTGGAGTCTCTGGAGATCCTATGGTCAGCCAGGAGGTGGGGCGCGGCCGAGAGAGAAGGGCAGGCACTCACTTACCAGCAGCTCCACGTGGCTGCCGGGTCAACAGAAGGGAGCCGTGAGGAGAGGAGGAGGACCTGGCGGGCTCAAGGCTGCAGCATGAGTGCGGTCCTTCTGGGTCCTCCCTGTCATTTAAACATCCCCTCGTGAGTCACCGCAGGGGGCAGTGTCGGCCTACGGGGGGCGGGGCAGCCCGACTCTGGGCACATCATCAAGCAAATGCGTTCAAGCTCAAGGGGTGTTCTTCGACTGCATTTGAAAATAAGTTTCTTCTCTCCCTTCCCCGCCCCGCCCTTCTCCATCTTGGGATTCCGGTTCTGTCTACTGTGGTGCTCGAAAGGGGGTTTGGTGCCACTTCAATGAGACTCTGAGTGACTGAGACCCTGAACTTGCCTTAGACACCAGCCCAGGGGTGGCCAAAGTCGTTTCCTGTGGCCTTTGAGTCCACTCTCCTCTTCCTCCTCCCCACTCCTCTTCCCTTGTCCCTAATTCTAAACTTTTTATATAGAAATAGCTCCTATTTTACAGACACTATGCAAGAACAATATAAGGAATACTCAGATACTCCACCCAGTTCAGCCATCTCTAACATTTATTTTAAGTTCCAAGGAAGAATATAATTTCTTCTAAAAGCAGCATTTCATGTCACTCTCGGGCCATCTTCTGCTCCTAGACTGCTGCCCCAGAGGTGCTGTGACAGCCATGGAGGTGGTTGGTGACTGAGAACGAAGCCTCTCACATCTTTCTCCTCGGAACCTTATCCTGAGCATGCTCTGCTGCCCCTCCGCCCCAGCCCCAGTAGGGAACCAAGACACTATTTCTATTCAAATTGTCCCAGAGAAAGAGATTCTGGGAAGAAGACAGAGGAGTCACAATAGGGGAGAGGATGGCCAGACTTCAGCTTCTTTTCCATGACTAGCCCTTAAACAAAGCACTAAGACTCAAGGTGTCTTGGTTCAGTTTTCCTTCTCCACCAAGCGGCGAGAGTGAGGCTTGCACCCAGCACCTGGTGGAACACCAGGAGCCTTAATTAATGTTTGCAGGGTGCTTTGAGACTGGCCATGAAAGGACAACATAAAAGTGCAGTGTTATTACTGAAGCAGTCATTTGGGTGGTCAAGCCTTACAGTCTGAATCATGCCCCACCATGGCACCATGAATCACAGCCAGAAACAAAAGTACCTTGGCTATTAAACTAGGAGCTGAGAGTACTGCCACCACACCCCAGCCCCGGCTCTCCAACCTCAGCCTCCTTTCCCACTCACTGGGAGGCAGTCCACAGGAGAGCACCTTTCCCCTCTCCCCCAACCTTGGAACCTCCACATCTGGAACCCAGGGGCATCAACTTCCTGCCCACAGATCTTCAAAAATAAGAATGTTCTGTTTGTCCTGTTTCCTTCCTCCAGCTCTCACACACAGTCACTGTGCTAGCTCTGGGCTGGGAGCTGTAGTCAACAACGGGTCCCTGTAAGGCTGGCATGGCTGTAAGATGGGAGTCCCAAAGGACCTGCGGTGCATTTCCATATTGCTTCCTCTACACTTTGTTTTTCAACCAAACCACGGTGACATTCAGGGCCAGGTGATGTTTCCTGTGGAGCTGCCCAGAGCTTTGCAACTCTGGCCTCTACCCTCTAAGAGCCAGAGAACACTTTGTGGGGGGGGGGATCCAAAATTGTCCAGCATTGCCAAATATCACCCCATGGGGCTAGGGGAGAGGAGGTGGGGGCGCGGGGGTCTCTACTGCAAATGATGTAATTATGTCCAACACAAGACCCAGGCCAATGCTGACTCCCCAGAGGTAACACTTTAAGGGGCAGAGTGAGGATCCAAATTTGTGGCTTCACCATGTGTCTAAGTACTCAGATAGGCATGACCTGGACAGGCAAAAACAGCACTTTTTAGACAGTCTTTATGGAGGGAGAACTGTGAGCAGATGGGGGTGGGGATGAGGGACAGCGCAGTCCTTGGGGTAAGGCTGGAAGCATTTGCAGACGCAGTGCTGAAACACAGCCGAGCAGATGAGGGAAACCATCAAGGCAGAGTAAGGAAGGCACTTGGCCGAATGTCACTTTCGTCTGAAGCCCAGATGTGTGATGGAGTTGAGGAAGTCTGGGATGCCTCCTGGAAGAGTGTGTGATCTTGCAGGCAGCAGGGAGCCTCCAGAAGCTTTGGAAGGGGCAAGAATTATGAGCAGAGCTGTCTGCAGGATGCTGCTGTGGGGAGAGGGTGCCGAGTTTCTGGCCCTCATGATAACACGTGACTGATGCACACTAACCAGGCCATGCAGGAGGACCACCCGGGATGCCCTTACACTTGTGCTTCCTCGAGTATGAGAAAGCATCACACTGCTCAGTCAGCCCCCACAAGAGAGACACATTATTTCTGAAAGGAAAAGCCTGACTCACCACCCTAAGGCCCTGTAGCCTCGGGGCGCTCTTTCTATCTGTCCCGTGGGGAGAACCAGAAGGGCCAGGTTGGCTGAAGAGCCCTAGAGAAGTCTGACCCCCTCATTCAGACCCGAGTGGATCTATTTTGGTTAGGAAGGATACAGGAGCTTGTGAGATGCTTCAGTGGTTAAAAGTACCTGCCGCACAAGCCTCACAGCCTGAGATGGAGCCACTGAAGCCACGTTTAAAAAGCCTCACACACACCTACCCTCTCAACCCTCCTTCTTCAAGACAGGGCTAGGAGACAGCAGAGTCACCTGGGAGTTCTCAGGTGAGCTAGCCTAGAGCTGCCATACAAAAAGAGGCCCTTCCTCAGCAAGGCAGGAGGAGAGAACTGACTCCCAAAAGTTGTCCTCTGACTTTTATATGCATGCCATGTTATCCACGGTATGCTAGCATCCAGGATCACACACACAAATGCCATACAGATATGCTCTCTCTCTCTCTCTCTATTTCTCTCTCTCTCTCTCTCTCTCTCTCTCTCTCACACACACACACACACTGAAATAAAACAGATAAATAACTAAATGGGGAAAGAAGGCTGGGGCAGTTGGGGCCCTGCGACCCAGCTTCTATCTACTGTGGAGGGAAGCCCTCAAAGCACCCTACCACATGGTGTTATCATCCCATGAATCCCCCAGTAGAGTGGAAAAGGAAAGAAGACAGAAAGCACCCAAGGGTGGCAAGGCCGTAGGCAACAGAACAACCTTCTTTGTTCTACCAAAAGCAAGATGTATAAAGCCATTTGCAAGGGCAGTCTTGCTCCCATAGAATGACAGTGAATGTACCACTGTGTTCAAGACTGTTCAGAACAGAGGTCTGACGTCTGCCTTCCTTAACACAGAAGACTGGGGAGGAAAAAGTAGGACTTGGACCTGTGCATAGGGATCAGAAGAATTAAAATATGTTCAGGAAACCCCACACTGTGGATAAGGATAACTTGAGGCCCTAACTGCCAGAGGAGGACCCCTCCCAGGGAAACAGTGTGATAACCACTCTCACCGCTAACCCTGCAAGGCATTTGTCTGGAGCATGTTTCAGCTTTTCTATAACATGACTATATTCTATTTTCTATAACATGACTATATATTCCTAGACAACATGACTACAGGCAGGCAACAGTCACTTATCTATACATTACCATCATGTTGTACAGCAACATTGTTCCTCAGATACACCTCAACCTATGGGAAACAATTGTCAGTCGTGGTCCCTCAGACGCCAGAGGACAGAACTAAACCCTAGAGTCCCCTTTGAACAGTCTTCAGCGACATTCCACCTCTCTCCCTCTAGGTTCCCTCATCCCCACCACCCACCATGTTCTCTCCATCTCTGAGGCAGCAAAGGCCATGGAACCCTGAGGCCCCATGGATGGCTTATGGCTCTTAGCTGCATGGTCCTGGATATTCTGGGCAGTCTAGTTTGATCCCCAAAGCAGTGAATTTCAAAGAGATTCATAGATGCAAGCTAGTCATGTTTTGTTTGTTTGAGATAGGGCTTCTCTGTGTAGCCCTGGCTGTCCTGGAACTTACTATGCAGATCAGACTGGCCTTGAACTCAGAGATCTGCTTCCTACAAACTTGGATTAAAGATGTACATTACCATGTCCAGCCAGTTCATGCTTTGTTGAAATAAGTTTGATTCTTGTATTGCATCTACTAGGTAATAAGGCCAACTATTATACACTGTAAAAATGAAGTTATATTTCTATCCTGACATCTATTAAGCAGAAACCTGCCTTCCAGGAGTCCCCACTCATGGGCTGTATTCCATTTAGGGAGCATTATATCATTCCAGCTCTCACCCGGAGGCCACTTTCGTGCATCGGACCCATGAGCAGGCTCACCCAATCAAAGCCCTCATTCTCTTCTGTACCATTGGAGACACCACCTCATCTCACCATTCTACACATTAGCATTCATTCAACAGCTGTGCCTTAGACTAGGTGTTAGACTAGGATTGAATTCATTCTAAGAGAACTCAAACACCTCAACCATCAAGTTCAAGAATAAGACACAGAACCACTGAGCTTTCCAGGATTGTGGGACAAGGCTTTCCCGCAGAACTACAGTTGAACTGCTCTTGGTGGAGTGAGGAGGCATTTGGGCATTCTGGGAAAGAGCAAGGGCATTTGTAAAGGCACAGAGTGGTAAGCAGTCAACGTATCCTGCATCTGAGAAACAGAATTAGCAGTCCTCAGGGCAGGGTCATGTTAAAAGCAGAACTGCCATCCAGGAGGAGGGTAACGCCAGTATAGGAAGAGTCCTGCCAACTATGGTGCATTCTACAAGACACAGCAGCATTCAGCAGGGGGTGTGCCATCGTGTCAGTGTGCCATGATGTTCCACGGGACATCTGGCAGTGTCTAAATATATTTTTGTTCTCATCTATGGGCATCTGGAGGATGGGGAAGAGACAGTACTAAATGGCTTGCAATGTATAGGACAGCCCCCAGTCAGAGAACTGTGT